ATATTTTCCAAACGCACTTTTGTTCAATCAATTTTTGAGAAATATCGCTTTACCATGTCTGATATTCAATATATGCATGTGTGTGTGTGTGTGTGCGTGTGTGTGTGCATGCTTGTGCGTGGCATGTCCTGACAATCCCCAGCCTAAGAAGTGAATACGGGGTATAACTAAATTCATTTGAGCCGACAATAATGTCGAGTATAATTATGCATTTGTTGGCACGCACCTGGAAATTGATTTGAATTATTCCAAATTGAATGCCATCGAGATAAGTTCCATGTGGAGCAGGTGTTTGTCGTTTGCATCGGCTGCACAGCTGAAATAATTCAATTACCTCAATTCGGTTCAGGTAAAAGTAAGGACTGACAGACAGTCAACAGCATTGTTTAGCTAAAACTTAATGATCAGCCATGAATATTAAGTTACTTTGCAATTTCACTAAATGTGGGTTTACATTTAATACAGTTCACTTATCGACTATTCTCTATTCATTAACTACTTAAAACATCAAAATATGTTTTGCTGTTTACTGTTTGCACAATTTTGATAAGCGTATTCAACATTAACATATGTTGCTATACCCTACACTCTACGCACATAAATAAATGGCTATTACAAAACTAGCTTTACTTTGGTGCTGCAAAAGTATTGAATGAAGTCAATATGCATACAAATAACTGTACTCATTCAATAAATAGTACGAATTTTAATTCTTGTTATCATTCAAATTATTTAAATTTATAATTATAAATTTATGAATTATTACATATAATTATAATAATAATATTATACTAAACCGATGAAAAGAAGTAAATTAAAAAAAAAAATACATATATATATGTATAATATATGCATTCATTGATACAGAACAATCTCAAATCACGTTTTTGTATTCACTTGGATACCCTTAAGCCTGACTTCAGGTCATATCCTGGTCGATCACACAACCACATTTATGTTACCCAAATGGGATTTCTGTGTTTTGATTTGGCTTTGGTATCTTCAATGGTTTCGTTTTCGCCTGAACAAAAATGTTTTCATTCTACGCCTATTTAAATAAAGTAATCAAAGCAATTGTTTTTTCAATTAATACAAGGGATTCAATTTAATAAATTAAGTGCATGTAAATTAAAGGAAAGCTAGCGATTGAATATGCCAGTGATACATAGTATGTATTGATATAAATGGACTTCTCATACAAATTTCTAAAATATAATTTAATTTATAATTAACTTTATCTGAGCTATACTTTTGCTGACATTATATTTTAATCAAACTATTTAAAGGTTGTTTGAGTTTATAAAATTGATTTTCATGTTTAAACTTATTATGCACCAATAACAACTGCCCAAGCGATTAAAATGCTAACAGTGCGCGCTAACAGCACTCACATTGTCCCAAGAGCTGGTTCGTGTCTTAAATAGCAAAAGCTTTTCGAATAACAGTCGCCAGTTGTGGAGCCTATGTTAAAACTGGTTTAATAAGATTTCTGAGCAACTGGCGACATGCCGACGGATTGATTAAAATTAGGTTTTATTTAATATAATTAAATTTAATATTTTAATTTAGCATCTAATTTAAATGTCACTGACCGTTAAACTTTATCTTAAGGCACAATACCATACATATCTTATTATTAATTGTATATCGTCGTATAATCTGTCATTGGCCTTTATTTACCATTTATTTGTATGAGAATTGATTTAAATAAACGAATGTTTTGTCGCATAAACTCAACATGCATGTACAAATAATTACACATTAAATCAAAACATCGTTTTGTTCGACTTTTTTTTTTTGGCAAAATCAACATTTGTCAGCTGCAGCAACAACATCAACAAAAACAACATCAGCAAGAACAAATACAACGGTTGCCTGCATCAATTTGTAATTTAATGTGCCCACTAATGGATTGAGATTGAGTATGCATAATCGGGGCCTCCAATTAATTAGGGATTCTCAAACACAAATAAACATTCACAGTTGCATGGCTCATAAATCAATATCTACAAATTCTATACGCTAGTCAATATCCATGGGCAACTATTTAACACCTTACAGCAAACTAACAATGAGCTAAGTTCTTATCGTTACCTTGAATTAGTTTTATGCTTGACGTAAGTCCCGGTTAGGTGCGATTTATTAAGAATAGCGCAGAACTAGAGTCAAAGATAAACCCAGATAAGTGCATACCAATGATTATGTAAATATAAATTTATTCGAAAGGTCACAAAATTATATGTTCGGATCGAATTTAAGAAAATTGTACACAACGTCTTAATATTGTGCCATCAAAATCGATTGTCTTATGATAATAAAAAGTCGACAAACTTTTCAAAGAATATCTACGATATGTTTTCCTATATTCATTCATAATAATTTGAAATGAAAGTCACTTAAAAAAACCATTTCAATTGCTACTCGAGTGCATTTACTTCAGTCCATAACTGTTGACGGATTTTTACTCAAGCTACATACATTCATATTAATGTACATATGTTATGCCATAGAGCGGCATCCAGTTGACAAAAAACTGTCAAGCAAAGCAGACAAAAACTATAAAAATAAAAACGACCTTCAACTGGATTTATGGCATCAAAGCCGGAGCTGCAAATTCAATGCGGCCAGTTCAATTCGCAAACTGTTTCAAGTGAAAGGCTTCAACTGGCAAACACTAAAGTACGCTGTGCTTAACCAAACAGCCAAAAGCGCCACAGAAAAGCAAAATCATAAGAGGGGGTTGGGCTTAGCGCCCAAGCGTGCCTCTTCGATGTTTGGTTTCTGGTTATTGGCGAGCACATATAAGCGGATTATGCAAAAAAGGCACACAATATATGAAAGTTGTCTCCAATTCCAAGAACTGAGCGCGTTTTACGTACTAGACATCTTCAATTAGTCAACCAGATGTAAAGCACCAGAGCATGAGAGCTTCAAAAGACAACGACAGCAGAACTAACAAAAAAAACAACCGGTAACAAAAACAATTAACGAGTTTCCAGACCTGACGCATTGACAAACAATTGGGGAAATACCTAGATATACCTACAGCAACAATGTTGGCCTGAACTTTAAGCCATAAAGCAGAACAAAGTTAAAGTGTCGGCGTCCTTTGCCTCTGCTTCCACATGCCGAATCTGCTTCAACTTTCCGGCGTGTTTATTTATTTTTGACTGTCAAGTAACTGGTCCGAAACAAATTAATAGCTTTATGAATGTTATTTTAAAGCACGGGAATTTTTGTCCCCGTTGTGCGTTGTTTTGATACGATTAGCATATATTAGTAAATCATTACGACAAAGTCAACAAATTAATTGAACGGGCTAAAAGAATCCGATTTTGGTTTAAATAAGTAAATACCGTCATCATCAGAGCTGTGTATTTACCTGTGTGTTACATTTTATTTACAGTTTTAAAATTAAGCGATAATTATAAATATATATTTTTAAATATGGGCAATGCCAGAAGTATGTCTTCAAGAAACAAGGAAAATTATCTGCAACAGTTTGATTTTGTATATTTTTTTTTCCAGAAATTAAATGATTCCTTTGTAATATATAAAATATATAACGTGGCATATTTCATCATAATAATTTACACCATTGTTGGTTCATTTGGTCTAGTATCTGAGAACTTATTAATCATGAGAGAGAGAGAGGGAGAGAGAGAGAGAGAGAGAGAGAGAGAGAGAGAGAGAGAGAGAGAGAGAGAGAGAGAAAGGAGAGACGAGAGAAAACATTAACTCATAAGGGACAAAAGGTGATTAAGGGCGATAAATATTAGCTTCGTTTTCCAGCACTTATTTTATCAGTGAAATTTTTAATAGACCCTCAATCCGTAAAAATAAAATGCTTCGCCAAGATTTGCTTAATGTTATAAAATACAAGTATGCACGTTGCAGCTGGGTGTAACAGACTGCGCCATACTCTGTTCACAATCTTAAACATTCGACAAGCATATTGGCATATTGTTTAGTAGATATCAATATCGTCACAGTTTTCTTTATACAACTTTAAAAATCAGAATTGAGCTTAAAAAGAAGCTAGAGTCAACGATTAAAAAGTGCGTTTAACATAACTTTGAACCTAACTTCGTTCAATACTTGTGTGTCAATATTTTGTTATCTTTTGCTATCTCAAAATACAAATGGTTTGTCTTGTAGTTTTCTTATCTGTTTGCTATTGAACTTAGTTAAGGTGAAATGGAGAAGTACAAAAATATTTTCATCGTAGCTTCCAATACAAATTTTCATGTAGAATTTAGAAGGCTTTCGAAAATTAATTTGGCATGCCAATTGTTTAGCTGATTTTACACTCAACAAAACAATGAATGCACATAGTAAAAGTTTATACAACTCACGTGACCTCGGCCCATCAAATATAAGGCATATCCGATAAATCCATCCGTTCATTACTCTCACCTGTGGAAATGTTTACAACTTCTGGCTTAAAAACGGGTTCAACTGCGCTTTTTGTGTCATGCCAGATTAACCACAGGGCGTATGAGTCAGGTGCAAACTTGATCTGAGCCTAACCTTCGAATGTGCACACATGCTCACCTGCAGCCCTTGGCTAGCCGCACGTTGTGGTTAGCATCTGCTGATTGTTGCTCAAAAAGTTCGCTGAGATACCGCGTTTAGTTCTTAAATTGACACGCCCAAGCGCCAAGTGGCGAAAGGCGTCACGACGTGGCAAGTGGCAAGGTAACATTAAAAAAAAAAAGAATTGTAATAAAAACTATTATTATAAAAATAAACAAATACCTAAACAATGCTTTGCACTAAGCTCACGCCAGTGGCGGCGACTCGGCAATCGCAGCATGCAAATAAGGGGGAGCCCGAGAGCTGGAACTGAGCTAAACCCAAAACCAGTCTCGATCTGCTGGCCGCTGGCAAGCCCGCCCTCTTGTTGTTATTGTCGCATTCATTTCCATGTCATTTCATATTTAGAAGTTTGCCATTTGAGATTTCAGTTCAGTTTTAATAGCGCGCGACAACGGTACAGTTCGCCGCGAAGTGCCACAGCTCGAGCGGTTCGCATATCTCGTGGAGTGTCATCTCCCAGTTCGACATCTATTTTATCAATATATACAAAGTGAAAAGTATTTTTTCAAAATTGTTTAACGCAGGTAAATTGCTTAATATTTGAATGCAAAGTGCAATTAATCAAAAGCTAACTAAATTGAATTAAGCAAGAATAATTGATAGCTGGTGAAGTGTGAACTGAAAAAATCACGTATACGCAAAAGTGCGAAAAGCAAATTGCATCAATTGTGCACACAATCAAGAGTCCATGCAATAAAAAGCAAGCGGTTAAATTGTAAATTATGGTTGGGCCCTGCAAAAAAGTGAGCCGTTCAAAACCTCCCCCATGCGGAATATTTGCCATGAATTTTAATTAAAGCAGACAACAAGATGTGCGACCCTCTAGAGCGTATCAAGTTTTTACAATGGGCTCGTGTTTTATTTCAACTCACTTCCATATCTGTAAGACGCTGTATTTCCAGTTTGATTTTGTTTGTATTCGATACATGGATTGTGATGCCTTCATTTGAAATGCTCATTTCAATAAATCTTCATTTAAGCCGCAAATAATTTAATCAATTTACATTCTAGTTTTATATTGCCACGCAACTTTAATTTAGCATTTAATTACTCGTTCTTTTGCCGAAAAAAAAAAAAAACATTAAATTGGCAGTATTAGGCATAAGTGTGGCCAGTAAATGTGTGCAAAAACCACATTTATTATTAGGTAGCTCTTTTATGTGTTATTTCCAAGACTTTTCTTCTTAGCCTACATTTGATTGGTAATAAAATATATCCGTAAAATTCTGTGATATATTCCTTAAATGTAAATCTTTAATTAAATGCATGCGGCTCTCGATTGTACAGACTTTACTCAATTACATATTCGCTGGCATCTGCCTTGGCCAAGCATTTGCACAAATGGGCCACAACAGGGCGTTTCTGAAATCCACCAGAAAGCAAAATGAACGAAAGAAGACAACTCTTGGCTGGAAGGCAAAAAATTGTATGATAATTGAAATGTGCGTTGGCAGCCTTGGGCGTGGCTGGGCGGTCACATTGATGGTTTTCATTTAGCTCCGGCCAGCATTAAATTTTGTTTGAGTAACAAAGTTGCAAAGTTAAAACTTTCGCAATGGCCTTTAAAGCGCTAAAAGTGAATTAAGTGCGGGTAAATAATTGCGATTAATTTAAAAATTTTGCAATCAATTTAAGTAACCAACTTAAGTTTGAGGACTCTTAAGTGGAAAATAAACAAAAGGGAGGTAAACTATGGAGCTCGAGAGCACATTCTTAATGATATAACTTGGAATATCTTAAAAGAAAATTTACGAATCAAGAGTAAAACTCACGTGGAATATATAAATTGATGGTTTTTATTCTTGCTATAAAGCTACATTTTTAAACTTATATTTTTATTAAATCTAAAGCCTATATACTATTAGAACTATTTCACTTATGTTGATATATTGAATGGATCCATATGTGCTTACACTTTGTAATACGGATTATTTGATGATCCTTTAGGTTTAACACCTTGTTACCTGAACTATTTCCAAACCAAATGGCCTTGATCTATATTCGATAGTTGGTACCGTAAGCCGTTTGTTCTTTAATATTTTTCAAGTGTTATATTCCTGTTAAATTATATATATATAAAAAGGCTATACTGACGATGATGGCTATTAATCCCATACCTTGCCACAAGCTACTCAATTTCCAAATCCCTTTAAAATCTCTATATCGGCCATGCCCGATAGTCGATAGTTGGTACCATCACTAGCAAAATTATATAGTTTTGTCATATTTTTTAAGTACAGCATTTTAAAGCCATTTTATAAGGGGGAATTATTAGGCTTTAATTAGTGAAATATCAAAAAATATTGAAAGCTTGTGGCCTTCAACGTCAAGCATAGTTAATGAGTTGGGTGGATAGGAATATATTGGAATCAAGCGTGCGCCCATAGACAGTAGTATAGTATAATATATAGTATAATAAATGTTCAACTGATGCTGTTTGCTTTTAAGAGGGCCTCTTTGCATTTGGTTGATTTGGGCTCTTACACGCTCACGAGAAACTCATTAAAATGCGCAACGGAAACGCAAAGTGTGATTCGTTTCTTGAATATCACGCACAGGCACTGCACACGTGGCAGGTGGCAAGAAACGCGTCGCGACATTGGTCCCCAGAATTCTTGTTATACTCACACGCATGTTGCAGCCCAGCCGCGCCACATTCCCCAAACAACTTTTTGCGTGCAGCATGTGCCAAATGTTGTTGTTGCCTTTTCATATAAATTAAGTTACGAGATTGCCGCACGAGCACGAGACTCTACCTCTCGCCATGGAGCTGAGCGCCGTGACTCAATGACATTTTCGTGACACGAAGAAGCACGATAAACAGCGAACTCTGCTGTTGATGTTAGCTCATGCGTGTCTAAGGTGAGCCCCGCACGAATTTGGACATTAAACTATGCAAGAAGATATCATTATGTGTCACCATGATTGTGCCTTTCGTTTCGCTAGGGTTCACATAGTTTTAAAAGTAATGCCATTGCAATGGCAAATCTCATTATTAGTTAAATCCAATCAATTTATTTCAACTGTTCGTGCGTGCTAGACAAGTGCTCGTCTTCATGTAGCAATCAAAATGTCCATCTCTACGCTCTATACCAATCACCCTCCTCTCAACCAGACCATATTGCAATCTGTGCAGCGCATTTGCTCATTTGCCATAAATAACACTTGGGATTCTGACACCGCAGCCATTTTTGGTCTGAGTTTGTTGTAATTTACGCAATTTGAGCTTGTGGCTCGATGATCGCTGCCATCAAACAAATTGCATCAGCTATAGCATCGACTATATATACAAATATATATACATATATTGAACGGGGGATTATCGGCTACAGACTGGCTTTTCTCACGCTCAGCTTTGCCATAAGTGCGATGGTGCTGCCTTTGTTTTGCATATTTAATGCCAATTAAAAAACCGTTCCATTCCCGCAGCTGGCTATTAGCCAATGGACTATTTTGCCAACGCTTTTAACGTGTTTCAGCCCTACTGACACCCTCACCATGGAAGGGGTGTTCATGCATTTATAGTTATTCGTTTGCATTGCAATCAAAAGCTGCGATTTTTGATTTGTAGCTCAACAATGCGACGGAGTGGCTTCGGGGTGTGAGCTCGGGTTTTCAAAGCATATTTATACAAAGCTATGGCTATTGGCAGCTGCTGGCATAAAGTTAATTAATTGCCTCTCGGAATGCTGAACAATAGGGTACACAAATCGAAAAAGCAAATTTGAAAAGTTAGTACAGGTCAGCGCACTTCCTTATGTATGAAGTGAATGGGGAATAATTGAAATTTAAATTAATTATAAAGTCGTATAAAAAATAAAGACAATTGAATCGTTAAGTCAGTTCTATCGCTCTCTTAATATCTTAAAAGCTTTTCACTGTCTGCTTCTTCACAACCGTTTAGCAATTGAAACATTAATTCTGTTCAGTTCAATTGTATTCAAAACATTCTTAAATAACAAATCGCATATAAAAATTGGAAATAATTAAATCAAGCATCTCTTAAACTCTCATGAGTTGCTGCTTTGGTTCTAAATGTCCATGGCAATCTCTTTCAAATTGACAAAGCTAGTTTATTTCCTTGAAATTGTCCAAGTTGCCCGAAAGCGAACATTATTTTGGCTGTCAATCCACAATCTTTATTGGCATTGGTCAGTGGAACCCGCGAGCCGAAAGAGCTACACGATGGATAGTCTGCTTATTTTAAGTTCTATTGAAGTTCAATCTTTAAAAAGTTATTTATTATACCAAACTACTCAGTCCTGGTATCGCCATTTTCCGCTTCAGAAAAAAACATACGTCAAATGGACTTAAGGACATCTGCTTAATGTTTATTCTTACACAACACTCGAAAGAGTCACACCAAAAGCAAGCAACTGGCACATTCACAAAGATCTCTGTTCGTGGCCTTTCAAAAAAAAAAAAACAATATACGAAAAAGACGATGATAAATACTACAATGCACACATTCAGTGCAGGTTTCAGAGTTGAATATACTCGTACGCACTCACTTAGTCAGCCAGTCAGTCAGTGAATCAGTCCGTCAGTCAGTCAGTCAGTCAGTCAGTCAGTTAGTCAGTCAGCCACTGGTTGCGACAAGAAAGCCGAGCAGAAAATAAGCAACATAAAGAGCAGCAAAGCGGAAGTACTCTACAAATAATAATAGTAAAAAAATGAGGAAAACTAGCAGTTTTTGTGCGCACACTTCAGCAAATGCACACACGCATCCCGAACTTGGCACATGCCTGTGGTACAGAGTTCCACTTTAGGAATCAGCTCGCGACAGAGCAAGAGAAGCAGACGACAAACTGCAACTGAACAAATGTTTACACAATATTCCGGCGGCTATTTTATCTGAGTTGCAGCTGAAAATAACTTTCTTCCGTTGGCGATTGTTAGAAATATTCACGGTGGTTAGCCAGAGTATGCGGGTTTTTCGTATTAGCAGAGAGTTGCCTTTTTGGCACTTGCCACAATTCGGTCTAAACCAAAAATTCTCGAGACCATTTCACTTTTCAATTCTGCTTTGCGGCTCATCCGTAAACGTTTGCTTTAAGTCCGTTTGCATGCGTGGAACCTCTCATCCTCACTCACAAAATCATTTCTCATTTGCCCTTGTTTATACTCTAAGCTTGAGAATTCTTTGTCCACCCTCATTTACAAAAGTCCAAAAGAGCATTTGTCTTGCCAATTCTTTTTTGTGGCTCGTACACAAACGTGGCATTAAAGTAGCTTTTTACTGCTTTGTGGCTTATATGCATGCGCTTTTATACCTGTACTCTCGCTTTTTTTTGTGCCTTGTTAGACTGCGCTTTCTTGTAATTATAATTCATTCATATTTTATTATCCATTTCCAGCTACCCTCGCTAGCACAGTTGAGGAAGAATTTTTAAATTTGGCTTTGTTCTTCTTCCTTAATGGTTTCTTCTCTTTTATGCCTTGCTATGCATAGCGTATTACAATGCTATTTTCTGTACAATTTGGAGACTCATAGTTTTGTAGCTCAGAGGCAGAATAAATAAAC